TACTAAAATATGCAATCGAAAGCTGTAATCAGCTCGGCCAAAAACAATGGCACTGGTCAGGCCAGGTGTTTAAAACCACGAGACTCGAGGCGTCTAAAGATGATGATTAATTATGAACCTACTGTATAACCCCGTATCTTTACCATCGCGTCCACAAATATAAATCCACACGATACAGGTTGTGGTTTGGATGTCGGGATTCGCTTTACAGAAGCGAACGTGCTATTTTTGCTCCAACTACTGTTGCATTGGCTCGAATTCGTAACGTCGACCTGCAGTAACATTGAATGTGTTCTGCGTTCTTCGAAAAAAACAATTTTCTTCCACAATACCTTTCACTCATTTTTCAAACAAGTTTCGTGGAAACGTATAATAAAGCTGGTTAAAAAATGCACATCTCACAAAAATAACAAGAAAATGAATTGCATTATAGTCTGGCAATAGCGATGCTTAAGCTGGCACCAGCATAAAGCAAATTGACAAGATCTATGCATTTTAAAAATTAGCTCGAGTAGGACGGTGAATGGAGTCCCTTCATAGGCTAATGAGTACGGTCGAATGGACGATTTCTGCCGTACACTTAGCCCATTTGTTTGCTGATATGACACTGAATAAATGGTTTTGCCGGCGGAGTTAATTTCCGAGGACGAGCTTTAACCGACCGTACTTTAAAACGGTTTTTGCTTTCGGTTGCGACAAACCTTCATTTAATTGAGTTCACTTTTTCGATGGGACTTTCAGTAGCTTTGAAAGTAACAATATGTGATGTTTAATGTTAATAAAAGGAAGCAACCGATCAATTTCTTAATCAACAAGATTTGAAACTTTTAAAAGAATGGAAGTTTTTGCGATTTATTCGATTTCCTATTCACCGTGTCGTTCATCTCTTAAAACATCTTCTGTTTAGCATGAGATACAGCTAGAAATTGCTAATTTAGTTAAATTGGAAAACTTATCATCCCACATTTTGAAAATGTATTTTGGTATCTAAAGCAAATAAAAGTGTGAATTGATTCATTAACATTTAATGTAACCAAAGGCCAACACATCTTAGTCTTGCTCCAAAAAGCCAACATAGGTATATGAAAAAGTCGTAATTTCTGTCAAGTTAAGCGAGTTTTCTTCGAAAGAAACATTATTATTCGCCTCCGTTTGAGGTCACTTGTTTTGCTTGCAAATTATGATCTTAGTCAAAGTATGGACTGCATGTTGTTTAAGTGAAGCTCTTTAAGCAAATGTTTCACTTGTGCAATTTAAAAAAATATTTGCTGCAATTTTCAAATTTGGTATATTTTTACTAAAGCTCTTTTTGTTAATTAATCTACATTGGGCAAATCGTTTTCCCGAATTAGGTTATTTAAAGTCATTCAGTCATATTTCAATTTGGCTCATTTTTGTTCAGCCAAATTGATCCAATTGTTCGTTACCGAATACTTTTGTTTTTATTGCGAAAGAAAAGAAGTAGGTACAGAATTGTATCTACGCCTCTGGAACTTATGCCAAAAGTGCGAGTTTATATTATATAGTCAAATTTCTAAGTTGGTGTTATCATCAGGCAGTTCGCCATGCCATTTTTCAATTGGATTTATTTTTGTTCGTCTATCACCAAAAGAGGTACAGAACTCTCATCATTTCAACCAAAGTAGGATCTGAAATCACCACCCCTAAGTTTTTTAAATAAAATACCGAACTTATAGATGAAATTTACAATTTCTTGTCATCATCTTATACTGCTCCATAAGTTTGTCAATTTTAAGTAAACCAATTTTTCTAATGGTGCTCTACTATTAGTAGATACTTTATTGCCGTCCCTAGATTTAAATGCATCTCATGCAATTTCATTGAAAATTTTAAACGTAACCTGGGAATTTCTTCATAAATATTATAAAAAATATATTAACATATGTACTCGTAACTCGTAAAAATGTGGTGCGGCAATATTATAAGTGTTTTGTTTAGCTGAAGTTCCTGTTGGTCTAATTTTTTTACTTCCCAATAGGAAATTGTTTTCCAATGTTTTATATAAAAACGATTAATTTTAAGCATTTACGATCATAGTTTTGTAAATGCGCAAAGCTCTAGAACTCTGATGGAACAGGTTACACATCCTTTGATTTTCTTAGCGTCCTTATTATGGAATTCGATTGTACCGTGTTTTCAAGAGACATTAGAGATAAAGCACATGCAATTTAGAGAAAATAGTCATCAAATCTGAATTTTCGATGCTTAACCGAATCAAAGCATAACTCGAAAAGGTCTATTTTGAGTTATATGAGATGCTGATGGCGATAAGTACACGCTACTGCTCGGCGTGAACCTCGGTTCACCATTGTGTCTAAAATATGAAAGATAGGGATCGCAGATGCAGATAAAGGGGAAATAATAGACTCCCAGAAAAGCGAACGTCGAAAAACAGTACACACACGGGCTTTTGTGCGCTTACACAAATCAATTTAACTTAATGAAAAGTTTGTATGGGTGCCCCGTTTCGACCGGATGAAGTTTTCTAAGTATGGTAATTTCTTTAATGGGTTTATTTATAAACCGACATGGAAACGCTGGAATTATTCATGGCAAAGATCGCAGAGCAATTTGTTTCTGTTAATAAGAAATAGCTCTCTGGACAATTCGAATCATCCTCTCTCAAGTCACGTTATTCAAATTCCTGCATGCGAGATGCTTCAAGATGTCCAGCGACAAAGCGACTTTGGAAAAACCCTGATCTACAAATCGGATGTGATTGCAAGCTAAACAAAATGTTGGTAATCATGCATTGCGTCTGTACTTGAAAGTGCAGAAAATCCATTCGGAACAGATCTCAATTAAACATGATGAACATGAATATCGACAGACTCGTCACCGTAAACGTGCTGGCCACCCCCTATATTTCGAGGAAAAATCAATGAATTCCTTGTATCGATTCGTAACTGGCACATTTGGGCCATCATGAAACAGCGACTCCGCACAAGAAAAGCACTTTCCCCGATACTGAAAGATCGAGCCGAAAACAATTTGGGCTGTTGATGGTCAAAGACCCAAAAAAGATCCAATCGAGTCGGAATTTATGGCACAGGTTAGCACTCGAACCTGTCACAATTAGTCATAAATTGATGAGGGGTAAATAGATAATTTCGGTAAAGCGTAGCAGCAAGGCAGCAGTTGTTATAGAGGTGTCGAACGCCTTATTTACCGCTAAAATATCGCCTGTGTAGGACCTGATTTATGCCAATTTTGCAGGCCTGCGGCCACAATACCAGTGGCGTGAGAATTGATTTTTTTCAAAGGATGCGACCATCTAAGTCTATGCAATATTAATAAAGTGACTGCGAAAGGGCGGCGCCAACGATCATCAATAACGCACAATTTGACGGGTAATAGTTAGTATCTAAATATTTAACTTTTTAATGATAGATAGCATGCGGGATATTGTTGGCATTAGTTGGCACCTGTTTGCATTTCGATTACTGCACCCTCCATCTGTAGAACAAAGGGGTTGAAAACCTGTGGATTTAAAATTGATTTTCTCTGCCTCTTTAAGAGTAAGACATTTCAATATCAAAGCTCWGTTATTAGCACCAAGTAAGTAAGCAATAAACTCATGYAACTGCTGCGAARAAACAKGATTTTTTGGAAACTCGAAAGAATGAAAAAGCAAAAAGGAGTTGAGATCTTCAACGCATTAKCATATGAAAACCCCAATAAAGAAAACRGTTTTCTCAGAAAYGTTTTCGACWCAATCATAGAAGAACTAAGACMYKAAGTCACAAAGCAAAKRATCAACTGAAAAGCAAAATTTGTCYTCAGGAAAATAAGGTTTCCTGGATAACGATMCTACGCAACTTGAATAGTTCGATCTTTGTCTCCATCGAAAGTATCTGAAAACACTTCTCTGATAACATCGATGAGTCGTATTAATGTTTCAAGTAATTTAAAGTGATAATATGGGATTTTTGTTATTGTGTAGGCAGGAAATGTTTTTAAAAGTATATCTAATCGTCAGTGCAGTTGTTTTTTCAATAAATATCTCTTAAGCCACGAGAGATTAGAGCCATACTGTATCAAGTAATAGGTAGGTACATTCGTTTCAATATATCAATTGTGTTTTCCCAAGTAGAATTTAATTTCCTTCGAATTAATATGCCTTTATCTTCCTAGACCTTCAGACTACAAGTGTATGAACATTAATAAAATGCTGGTTACATTTTTGATGTTTTCTGTCTTAATTTACGTATTATGGAAAAAATTATTTTGAGCAATTGTTGTCCTCGCGTGCAAACTCAGCTATTGCCACGTTTTGTCGCAAAATCATATTTTGGTGATTTTCTTATGAATTTTATGAGTTCGTATGTATCTTCACTCAACTTTCAAAATGGAGAAATGGCATTTTATAACCCATTCCGTATTGATAGCCTTAAAAACCCCAAAAGTCCCAGCAGTTTTTACTTATGTTTCCGTACTTTGGAATTTGAATTTTCCAAGGGAAGAACGGAAGTCGAAGATGAAGAAGCCCTGACTGTATGCACGTAAAACATTAACACAAATTTATTTAATAAAATAAAAAAGTTTAAAAGTTTTTCCGTTCTATAAAATGTGCTCCATTTGTCCGCTTAACCGAACTGGTGCAGCAGATGTTGGCCAATAACGCGTATTATTTACTTAAAACCCAAATACAGCATTTACTTGGTTGGATTAATTCAAAGCAAAATGGGTTACCGAAATACTAAAATAAAGTCTTCAAGAACTTATGCAGCGTTTTTTGCCGTTTTCCACAAACTTTCATAAAATTGATTAAATCTTCAAAAGGTTTCTTGCGAGCTGAGCTGAATTAAGTACGAAATTCAGTTTAACTTCAATCAAAATAGGCATAGAAACATTTTCTTTAATTATCGATCTTCGACTTCGCCAATATTTATACAAAACGTATTTGAGCAAACCGACGAAAGCTGAGTTGTAAACATCGAAAATTATAAATAGAAAATAGTTGCTTACTAAACACTTACCAGTCTTCTCTTTGGTTTGATTAAAGGCCTATTTTGTCCATTCATTTTGTAATATAATCCACAAGCGTTACAGAGGTAGTGTCCAGTGCCGTCCCGTCTCCACAGTGGCGTGCTTGTCGCGCCGCAATTCACACACTCTCGGCCCTCTGGAAGAGTAAACAATTGCTATTGTTGTGGTCGAGTATGAGTTTGGGTTCAATACTACGATAAAAAGCGAGAAAAAGGCACAGTAACAATGAAATAATAAGAAAATACAAGACAGTCATCAAGAATGCAGTTTAATGGACATTGAAATAAAATAATAAACAAAACAAAGACTTATTCAAATGACTTTGTTCTAAAACTGTGCATTTTCCTGTTGCTCACATAGCATAGTGCATGCAAAACTAATAGCAGTAAACGAATGCACCATATAGAGACGAAGCACGGCATGCAAGGGTTGGGAGGGTTCAAAACCCCCATTTATTACCAATGAATCACAATATTACTATGTCATACATGAATAACTACAAAACTATTAAGCAAAGTGCAAAAATATGTCTTTCAATCGTTGATTAAGCTGAAACCCTTATCTGACGAGGTATATTAAATTGATTAGGAACTGAACAAAGGTTTAGTGGTTCTAGATAAAGGATTTGTTAAACGTTGTATGTGTACCTATATTGCTTAATTTTTGGCTGTCCATGGTTATTTCTACTCAATTAAAAGCCGGTAGTTTGGGTCTTGATTAAACCCCCTAATCATCCAATAAAGTAATCAGAATTTGATTATATTTTATTACAGCTGATTACCGTTTCCCGGGCCTGAAAGGAGCCAAGAAGTAAATTTATGGAAGTGAAAAGCCCTCCAAAGAAGGCAACTTTGTTCAGCAACCTTCTTGATATCTACAACCCATTGAAATCAATCCACGTAATTATTTAAACAAATGTTGTTTGTGCGCCTAATCAATTAGTTTTCAGTAGAAACCAAGGTGCATTTGGTTGTCGCTTGTCACAGTCCATCGAGATTGATAAAAGAATAGTGTGTGTGGTCTACACGCTTAATGTGGACGTCATAATTGATGTGGAACTATACGGACTACTGGCGTAATTAATCACTGCCTGATTGCTTTTGAAACACGTATTAGCTAATATATATGAAGTCAGTCAATAGGTGACAAATCGGGAGTGTATTAGAGGTTTTGCTATTATTATAGTGAAAAAACAATCACATGTTCAACCAAATGTTGTTTTTCTAGTAGTAAAAATGAAAACTAGTAATTTCTAGTTGTGTTCAAACCTTTTGTCAAAGTTTTCCTTTATGCCCAAAAACCTCAAGTCCTCCAAGCTATTGACTTAGTCTTTAAAATACATATTTTGAAGGATATAATTATTTTGCGTTAAGCAGCGCATAGACATTAGGCCCATTGAAGAAGGCAAATGGAAATGTCAAGTTGTCCTTTCAATAAATCCCCATCGGAAACTTTTTTTTAAAAAGATTTTTTATTCTATCCAAATGCAACAAAAATATATATTTTTCAAAAAAAAATCGAATAGGCCTTATAGCCTCAATTACCAAAGGTTATTTTCAGCTACACTCTTTCTGATTACAAACTGTCTAATGTTCGAAAGGGGAGATTATTTCTCACTCACAGATTATTAGCTTATTTCTAAATATGTTCCTTCCTTTAAAAAAGCACATTCTCTATCTATTTAACACATTCGGTTTTTCCGGAGGCGATCGTTTTCCATATTTTCTTCTCATGATATATAGAAATCTCTCTAAGAAATGGCAATCTGTAAACATTGAACGGCACAAGAAATTATATTGAGCAGGAGCAGGGGAAACAAATGTTTATAAACCTTTTCATGTTTCCTACTGAAAAATGATCAAAAGACTTTACACATAACATTTGTTCTTGATTAAACAAATTTTTTCATTATATTTTGCTGCAGAAAATGTTCTTATTGTTCGTTATATCTATGTGTTATTTTTCTCAAATCTCAAAAGGTCAATAATAATCTACTTCAATTTTATCTATAACGTTTTGAATATATTGGCTATGATTAATATTAATATCGTTAATTGCATCCACTATTTTAAGGCGTCTAACTAGAGTCTCATACACAATATTTTTTAAATAACCCCAGAGAAAAGAATCAAGAGGCGTTAGGTCGGGGCTAATTGGAGACCATTGGATAGGACCCGCTCGTCCGATCGAGATGTCCACATTTTCGTTTTAAAAAAGTGCTATTTATAATTATAATTAATTATAATTTTTGAAATATAATCTATGTGGTCAACTTATGAGAAAACACCCTGTAGATAAAAATGATTTAAAAGAGCTTCTAACTACTGACTAATTTCAATGTTCTTTATTTTTGATATATGATTTTATGTTCTATGATTTTCCTTGTGGTTGTTTGTAAGTTTTGTAAATTAAATTTGATAATAATTTTCGTGATATTCTGGAACAGGCAGGTTTAACAGCGTTTGCAAACGTCTAGTTTTCGTTATAGATAGAAACCATATTAATAATAGTTAGATTTTTGTATGGTTTGATCAAAAACGCTAATTACTAAAAATAAAATAATATGAAAATAATAAATAAAATAAACGAAAGATCGTCTGCTAAACAGATCGAACCATCAATGAGTTGAATAAGTAAAATCAGCAATAGTTTTGCTTTTTGTGCAATTTTGGAGTTAAAAGTTCACATTGATTAATTGTGCAACAAGTTGTCTTTTGCTGTGTTCAATTGCTACTGAAACTGTAGTTCTCGCTCTGTTATACTACACTTTATTTTAATATAAAAATCCGCATGGAAATACGCGAGGTCAACTTTGCAAGAAAATAAAGTATAGGAATTATTATCAAACGGTGATTTAGATGATGCGATGAAGGATCGAATTCGAACGACGAAGAGTGTTTTGAGAGCAATTCAGAATGTGAGAAAGCCTCATATGGACCAATTCTTTGACAATTAGGGCTTTAAGCAGTTACATCTGCATAAGCTTAAGTAGTCCCACTTTATAAATAAAATATATTTGAATACTTTTAAACTTTTGAACCCAATAATGCAGTCAACACTCTCTTAGTATTTTGAACTGATAATTTAATGTATTTTTATAACTAAAATGAGTATACGTCAGTTAAATCATCCAAACGTCGTCTCATGTCCAAAAATCGCAATGAACAACCACTCAAGCCATCAAATCAAATATATATATTACAATTTGACTATTGCAATGACTCAGAACTGATTGTGAAACAAAACAGTTACTACAACTAGACCAAACAACTTTCTAGCTACAGGATAAAAAGTCGATACCTATGTCATGCCAGAAGAATAGAAAGACGTCGATCATGCAAAAAAACATTGAAAACTATTGGGGATTTCCGTGTGTCCTCGGTATTCCAATATACACGAAAAGACGTTTGTTTGTTCATTAGCAAACTTCCGATTAGTCGATGCACAATATTCAATGCGTTTTGCACGATTGGTAAAACACTTAAAATCGCGCAAGGTGTTCTCGATTCTAGTTTATTGAGCAAGTTATATGAGCCGGCAACCGAAAGATGAGGAAACCGAAGGTTATCGATTTTTCTTCTAGCCTAGTCAAACAAACCCCCGGTCTAAACAGGCGAAACCAATCAATTTCACAGTACATTGGGCACGGTTTATAAGCGCATTAAAGCCGCATACTGGAAACATTTTATTAAATTAGGAAAGCCACAAGAAGGGGATCTTTCTTCCTACGTGGGAAGGACGAGCAAGGACTTAAATTAGACAAAGTGAAGATAATTAGCAACATCGCAAAAAGACGTGCTATTGTGTTCAACCCGCATACTTGAGCCCTGTGAAAAATTTTTACCACTAATTGAAGTGCGGCTCTTATGGGTACTTGCCTATGTTTCTGCACTTTTTTATGTTTGCTTTGCATGCGGGATTCTTCGGAATGCAACTTTATTGCGATTTGCTTGTTAACAGGTTTGTGCAAGTGCTGTGATACGAAGCATAAGCGCAACTTTACAGCCCAGTTGAGACAAGCACCGATTTTTTATTGCCCTGTTTGTGAATAAATCCGTTTCCTGCTTAGATTTTTTGCTGTTTGTTTATCCAACGCGAAAACGTTGAAAGCCACATAATAAACGGCAAAGTTCCCAAAAATCCACCACAAACTACGGCTTAAATCTACTTTTCCACCCCAATGGCCAATATAAACTAGTTTAAAATTAGTCCAGGTGCTCCATCGAAAATAGCCGCCTATCTATAACATTGTCGCATTTAATCCGCTTATCCGCTCCTTTCATGCAATTCGAAAAATAACCGAAATCGAATTTACCAAAGTGCCTGCATTCAATTTTTAAGTGGTTATTCGTAATTTGTCAAAAGGTGCATTTTGACCGATCTTTTGCCGTCGAATCCATCAGATGTATGCAATTGATTCAAAAAGGCCTCTTTCTATACATACTTTATTGGTTGCGAAAAATAATCATGGCTTTAGTACTGGTAGTGGAGATTTTTCCAAACCGCTAAACTACGAATCGGCAGGTCAAGCAGCATAACGTTGATTGTAATTTTTAATTCGCGATTAGGCTAAGCGCAAACAATCCGGTAAAACTCGGTAGCTTAGTTAAAGCTGCTATGAACAAAGACGTTACTAGAATATTAGCGGCTTTAATAAGTAGTTGCTCATAATTGTTTTCCGCTGAAAGAAAATTCTTGGCGATTGAAAAGTAAAACATTTAAAAAGTTGTTGATTATTTCTGGCAGAAAAAATAACAAGTAACTCAACGCGCTACGTTACTTGACGAGAGAGAATTGAACAATGTATACAAGCTTTGTAATGTGAAGTATTAATTAATCTACTGATTCACTGGGTCCAAAAATTGTATGAACACAAAAGTTTTATCAGTTTTTCTCAGTTTCCTTTGCTTCTTAAATAGGAAAGTAATTTCAACTTGATGTGTCATCAGCAGTGAATCAAAATTAATTCCTGGGTTTCAGTCAATTATTGTCTTTATTTATCAATTAAAATACGTTTCGGTGTTTTCCACCATCATCAGTTTTTATGTGTAGCGTTGTTGCTACTTTAAGCATTGGCATATATTTTTCAGATTATTTATTCAAAATATATATCAAAGCTTAAAGTAGCAGCAACGC